CCATAACACATTCCCTACGTGGGTTTTGGGGCTGGTCAGCTGCTGTGTACTGTTCCATTGTTTTTCCTCTCCCATTTCTTGAGCTTGGAGGCAACTTCCTTCACAAATCCTTCTCCTAAACACTTGGTGTGGGTGAGAGTAGCTGTGGGGCTATGTAGTTGGCCTTGTTCTGAGTTGGGGTTGCTGTTTGTGAGAGTTGGAGGGGCTGTCCTCTTGAGTTGAGGTGGTGAGAGTCTTGTTCTTGGCTTGTGAAGCTCCAAGGAGCTTCCTTTGTGTTGAAAGGTCCAAGCTTGTGCTGTCATTTTCGTTTTGGGACCAACTCAGAACTGTAGAGGCTGTATGGTGAGCTCCAAGAGCCATTCTTGCTCTGTTTTGAGCTTTGGTAAGTGTCACCAACCTTGATCATGTGTTTTGATGATTAAAAGAGGTGTCTTGGCATGTTTAATGAATTAAACAAGTAACCAACTGTCATATGAACCTAAATGGACCTTAAGATGCATGTTTAAGCTTCTGGAAGTGTTAAAAACCCAACCTTGGAAGGATATCTTCACGAAATGCAGAAACTGCATTCTGTCGTGAAATATCTGAATATCTGATCGTGAAATATCCGGATATTGATATCCGGATATGGGGATCGGGATATCCGGATATGGGGATCTGGATATCCGGATATTGATATCTGGATATGTACAGTGAGATATTCAGATATTGGATATCCGGATATGCCCCCGAGGAATATCCGGATATTCTGGGTTTGCGAGAAACAGTAGCGTACCGTTCATCCAGAACTGATCTATGGGTTTGTGGACCCTAGTTTGAGGAAGTTGAACTTCTGTAATTAATTAATGTAAGTCAGAATCATGTGATTAAGGGCTTATGGCTTGGTGAGAAGCCTTAAGACGTAAAACGTAATGAAAAGGCGTTGTCTTTATGTTGTATACTGGTAGAGTATGATTGTTGATGTATTATTGGTCCATAACAGATTGTGAATCTGTTGTGTTTGGACTTTGAGCTGTGGACTCTTGGCTTTGGGTGTTAGCTTGCAAGGTAAGCTTTCGTGTCCTCGGTTTAGCCGTGTTGTGGTTCCACCATGTCCCATGGGGGTATGGTTATATGCATGTTGTGTTACATGCTTTTGATATATGAAATGCTGTTGAACTTTATGTGTTAATGGCTTTTAATATGCATGTGTTGTTCCATCTTGACGGTAAGCATGAGTATGTGGCGTCATACAAGACGGTGATCTGGGGTGGATGCAAGTAGCATCTTGCACTATTTGTGGGTATTAGACGTATATAAATCCTGCATTTCTCTGGCCAGTAGAATAGAATTAACACACATGACTTAATTATCTGTTGCATTGCACTGTTTTAGAAATGATATTGATAAATTGTTTTGAAACTTATATTGCACATATAAGTGAGCTTGGGGTGGAAGATCCTTGAGGACCCCTTGTCTTACTGAGATTTCTTGTTTAGAGATCTCACCCCACGTTTGGGGAATGCTTATTTCAGGTTCAGGTAGTATGGTGACTGATGCCTCTGGCGGCAGGAGGCCAGAGCTTAGTTGATGATATTACTGCTTATTTGCTAGCATGACTGGACTGGATGCTGTTTATGTTTTCCGCATTATTATTATGTTGATGATATTGAGACTATGTTGGGCTTTGTTGCCTTATTTGGGTGAGCATGGGAGTTGTCTATGCCACTATGTTGTTAGTACTTTTGAGTTGAGTTGTATAAACTGATAGTTGGTCCGGTCTACGTGTTGTAGTTCCGTGACTAGAGACATACATTATGCTATTTTAATTAATGAGGTATTTCAGTTAGCTGTTTTATTGCAATTGCATACAGGCGATGTTTTATTAATTGATTAATAAGCAAGTTGGTAATGATAATGACTTCATAATTGAAAAGGAAAAGATATTCCGCATTTTTAATTAAGCGCAGCTTAATACGATAGTATGATAACATTACCGGATATATACGAGGAGTTACAACTAGTACGTCAAGTAGCAAGTCAAAATAATGAGTATTGGTGTCAGAACTGATACCTGCTACGTAAAAGTGCGTATCGGCAAAGTCTTGCGAAAAATAAAATAAATATATGACAAATATTTGAAAAATGGCTAGGTTCAGAACCCCAAGTTTGAGATTAAAAGGATAAGCTTAGCTATTACTGCTAATACAGTGTGATTAGTTTAATGGATCTATAATTGCCAAATGGGCCCAAAACCCTAGGCTATAATTCCTTGTTACGTGTGACTCCTTGGTGGCTGATTCCCGTCAGCCTATTTTCCCTTCCCTTGAAGCTTGGACCCTTATGCTTGATTGGGAGCCAAGAACTCACCTTTTTCCATAGATTTCTTCACATTAAACCTGGTAAACACTTGGTAGTTAGTATTGTGAAGGAGTGTGCTGGTTCATTGTGAGTTGTAGCCTCTGTGTTGGTGAAGTTTGGGACTTCTTTCTTGAGTTTTGGTGGTGTGAGCCTTTTCTTGGGGTGTAATGGCTTCAAGGAGCCATTTTTAGTGATATAGGGCAAAGCTTGAAGTGCATTTTCGTATTTGGTAGGTGGTTGAACCATAGTGCGGTGTACAGGACTCCTATTCTGTCTCATTTTCTGAGTTTTCAGCATTTGAGGTATACCATGATCACCTCTTTGTTATTTTCATGATTTTAGCTTGTTTAATCCATTAAAAAGTGAAACTTGAACCATTTGAGCTAAAGGCTGGTAATCTGAGTCTAAAACATGTTAATGAACATCTGTTTATGGAGTTATTGAACTCCAAATCGAGTTTGGACATTTAATTTGGGACTTATGCAGAGAATGCACGAATTTCTGCATTCTGTCTGATAAGTATTCGAATACTTATCATGTAGTATTCGAATACCTATCCTGTGGTAGTCGAATACTCCTTGAAGGAGTATTGGGATACTTTTCTGGGAAGAAAAATTTTCGGATACCTTTGAAGAAGTATCCGAATACTGAGAAGTATTCGAATACTGGGGGAAATGTATTCGGATACTGTGTAGTATTCGGATACCGTGGGAAAAGTATTCGGATACCATGCGGTATTCGAATACCTTAGTGAAAGTATTCAGATATTTTCTAGAGACTTGGAGTATTCGAATACTCATCGAGGAGTATTCGAATACCTCTTGCAGATTTAGTCTTAAATCACTTAAAATGAGTCGGAAAGCCTTAATCACTTAAAGAAACCTTGGGCAATATTTATTGGTGATTAATTATTGTATAAACAGACTGTGATTGTGCTGTTTGGTGACATTGAGCTTGTGAGGACTTGGCTTGGATTGATCGCTTAGAGGTAAGCTTTCGTGTCCTCGGTTTAGCCATTGTTGGTTCCGTCATACCCCATGGGGATAGTGATGGTAATCCTGATGAGGAAGGAGTCAGGCGTGACTTGCCGGCAGAGCCTGTGGACGAAACGTTGGTTGCTCCTATCATGGCGACTGGGGGAGGTGTTGCGGTTGCGGGCATCCCTGAGCAGACTTTGGAAAACATTGAGGAGGGCGCGGCGAAACCAGTCCATGAAGCTACTAATGAGGATGTCGTTGCTGATGACCGCCACAATTGACACTTAAATTTAGATATAAGTGTAGTAGGGTTGGTGGCCAACTAGTGGTTTTTTTCTTCTTCTGATTATAATGGAATTTGTTTACCTTTTTGCGATGTCAATCTAAACTCTTCAATATTGATTTATTCTTTATGAGCTGGGCGTTATCTGAGGGCGAAAGTCGTCCCGCAACTTATGCGTTGGTTGTGGGTGCGAACCGTTCCGGTCCAACGTTTGGCGGGGGTGAGAACCGTCCCGCTAGTTGGACGATGGCTGGGGGTGAGAACCATCCCAGTCCAACGTTTGGCGGGGGTGAGAAACGTCCCGCTAGTTGGGCGTTGGCTGGGGGTGAGAACCATCCCAGTCCAACGTTTGGCGGGGGTGAGAACCGTCCCGCTAGTTGGGCATTGGCTGGGGGTGAGAAACATCCCAGTCCAACGTTTGGCGGGGGTGAGAACTGTCCCGCTAGTTGGGCGTTGGCTGGGGGTGAGAACCATCCCAGTTCAATGTTCAGCGGGGGTGAGAACTGTCCCACTAGTTGGGCATTGGCTGGGGGTGAGAACCATCCCAGTCCAACGTTTGACGGGGTGAGTACCTTCCCGCTAGTTGACCATGCAATTTTAACAAAGAGTTGGTAAATTGGAACTTGTATTTATCGAAAGTTTGAAACCCTGCCTCGTTAAAATCCTTTCCCAGTAAAACCCATTGGGGCAAAACCTAGGAAAGGAAAAGAGTGCAGGAAGTGTTATATGGTGAATCAACTATAATACTTCTTGAGCTTATCTGCGTTCCACGCCCTCGGTATGGCTTTTCCCCCTAGTGTCTCTAGGGAGTAAGTTCTTTTCCCTAATTTGTTAGCTACCCCGTAAGGTCCTTCCCAGTTTGGGGCGAGCTTTCCTTCTCGGGCGTTCTTATTGCCAATGTCTGCTCTTCTAAGAACCAAATCTTTTTTTTGAAAACTTCGAGAAATGACTTTCTTATTATAATAAGTGGCTGACTTTTCTTTTGAAAGGCGGTCAGCTTGGGAAGAAACCCCTCTGAGCTCATCCAACAGGTCCAGAGCTTTATTCAGATTTTGAGTGTTGGCGACCTCGGTAACATGTTCCCGTCGCCAGGAGGGTTCACTTATTTCAACGGGAATCATGGCTTCGGTGTCGTAAGTTAGTCTGAAAGGCGTCTCTCTAGTGGAAGATCGTGCGGTTGTCCTGTATCCCCACAACATGTTGTCGAGGTTGTCTACCCACGCCCCCTTGTGTTCTTCTGACTTCTTTTTAATTCCTTTGGCTAGCATTTTGTTGGCCGATTCCACTAAGCCATTAGACTGGGGGCGTTCAACTGCGGTAAAGTGATGTCGGATCTGCAGACTGCTCATTGACTCCCGGAATTTGGCGTCGGTGAATTGGGTACCATTATCTGTGATAATTTATGCTGGAATACTGAAACGGTATACAATGCTCCTCCAAAAGAATTTCCTTGCCCTTTGAGATGTAATTGTGGCCAAGGGTTCTGCCTCTACCCACTTGGTAAAGTAGTCAATGGCGACAATTAACCATTGCACTCGGCCGGCCGCTATAGGAAAGGGACCCAGAATGTCAATCCCCCACTTGTAGAAAGGCCACGGTGATGTGATTGACTTCAATTCTTCAGGTGGGGCTTTGTGTACGTCGGCAAACCTCTGGAATTTTTCACATTTTTTGACATGCTCGTGGACGTCACGCTCCATGGTTGGCCAATAAAATCTAGCTCTCATCTCCTTCTTTGCTAGTGAGTGACCGCCCATGTGATGGCCATTGATCCCTTCATGTATTTCCTCTAACAAGAACTGAACATCGCTGGGGTTCAGACATTTCAGGAGTGGGGTTGAGAGTCCTCGCTTGTACAATGGCCCGTGTACCATGCAGAAATGTGCACTTCTTCTTACGATTTTTCTAGCTTCTTTTTGGTCGGGAGGTAGGATGCCTTCGGCTAAGTAGTTGATAATGGGCGTGATCCAGGTCTCTTCGACAACCTCAGGGTTTGATCCTGAAATGCTCATGACTATGCAAGGGTTAGGCATATTGTGTTGGATTACAGAACGATTGTTACCTGGGCTTTTGGTGCTTGCCAGCTTGGCGAGAATATCTGCACTTGTGTTTTTGGCACGCCTGATATGTTCCACCTCGACGCTTTCGAATCTTTGGATTAACTCTTTGACCTTCTCTAAGTACCTGCACATTAGCGGTCTTTTGGTTTGGTACTCGCCAGAAATCTGAAACGTTACCAGCTGGGAATCACTAAAGACTTTGAGGCGTCTGGCGCACATTTCCTTTGCTTGAACTAGGCCCGCAATCATGGCCTCATATTCTGCCTGGTTGTTTGTGGCATTGAATTTGAAAGACAAGGAGTGTTCAACAGCAACACCGTTTGGATTTTCAACTATCATACCTGCACCCGAGCCTTTGACGTTTGATGAGCCGTCAACGTATAGTTTCCATATCGCCGTGTTTGGCGTCTCAGTGGTTTGGGCATTGGCTATAGGGTTTTGTGTCATCTCAGCAATGAAATCTATGAGGGCTTGAGCTTTGATGGCGGTTCTTGGCTCATAGCTGATCTGGTATTCTGAGAGCTCGATCGCCCAAGACATCATTCGTCCTGCGAGGTCTCGCTTGTGCAAAGCTTGACGGATGGGTTGATTGGTTCTGACAACGATGGGGTGGCACTGGAAGTATGGCCTCAGTCTTCGTGCCACAAAAATAAGTGTGAGGGTGACTTTCTCAACTTGTTGATATCGCAGCTCAGCCCTCTGCAGCACCTTGCCGATGAAGTAGACCGGCTTTTGACCTTCCCCCTTTGGCTCTCTAACGCACTGATGGCCTCCGTACCTACCGCGAGGTATAAATACAAAGTCTTGCCACTGTCTGGTTTAGTGAGGACTGGCGGGCAGGACAACGCCCTTTTAAACTCTTGGAAAGCTCCTTCACATTCCTCGGACCATGCAAAAGATGTACCTTTTTTGAGCAACCCAAACAGGGGGAGTGATTTGTGCGCGGAGTTCGCCAAGAAACGCGTTAGGGCTACCAGTCTTCCAGTTAACTGCAGAACCTCCTTGACTATTTGCGGGCTTCGCATTTCGATGACCGCTTTGCACTTATCAGGGTTGACTTCTATGCTTTTCTCGGTTAGCATGAAGCCTAGAAACTTGCCCGTCGGGACGCCGAAAGCGCACTTATTCGGATTGAGCCGCATGTTGTACTTTGTCAGCCTATCGAACACGCCCTGAAGATGCATCAAGTTCTGTTCCGGTGTTTGCGACTTGGCGATCATATCGTCAATGTAGACTTCCACGCTGTCGCCGATCAAGTCTTTGAACATTTCATTCATCATTCGTTGGTACGTGGCGCCCGCATTCTTCAGGCCAAAAGGCATCATAGTGTAACAGTAATTGGCGTTCTGGGTGATGAACGCCGTCTTGATTTGATCTTCTTCAAGTAATGGAATTTGATTGTAACCAGAGTAGGCGTCCATGAATGAGAGTATCTTGAACCCGGACGCGTTATCCACCAGCTGGTCAATGCTTGGAAAGGGATAAGCATCCTTGGGGCACACTTTGTTCAGGTCAGTGTAATCGACGCACATCCTCCACGCCCCGCTGGTCTTTTTGACCAACACTGGGTTGGAGAGCCAGGTTGTATATTTGACTTTTTTTTTGAAGCCAGCGTCATGGAGCCTTTCTACTTCCTCGTCGATTACCCTCTGGCGATCCGGGCTAAACTTCCTCTTTTTCTGCGCAACGGGCTTTGCTCTGGGGTCCATAGACAGTCGATGGCAACATACTTCGTGATCTATACCTGGCATGTCAGATGGTTTCCAGGCGAAGAGGTCTCTGTTGCTTCGTAGTAGTTCGATCAACTTCTTCTTCATTTCCAGATCAGTAGTTGCTCCAATAGTAGTCGTCTGGTGTTCGGCGTCACCCAAAATGACATGTTCTAACTCTCCATCAGGCGTGGGCCTGGAATGCTCTGCTCGAGGGTCGTCCCTAGCGTCGAATTCTACAAGAAAACATTGATCAGGCTCTTTTTTATTTTTACTAGTAATTTCTTCCGTTACCTGAGATGTCGTCCCCTGCAGCGCTGGTTGGTCTTTGAAGGTGACCTTAGGTGCTGGTCTCAGAGATATGTTGTAGCAACTCCTAGCTACCGTCTGGTCGCCTTTTACCGTCGCGATCTTGTTGTCCCTCACCAGGAACTTCATTGCCAGGCGCGGGTGTGATATGCTTGCTTCAAACGCGGCGAGCATCCTTCTGCCGAGGATAACGTTGTAAGCTGATTGGGTGTCAAGCACCAAGAGTTGGATGTCGGATGACCTTGATGTGGGAGGCGTCCCCAAAGATAAACGCAGGTTTATCATTCCTAGGGGCTTAGTGGTAGTTGCGTTGAAACCTGAAAGTTCACTGCAACTGGGGTTAAGTCATTAACAGTAAACCCTAACGCATTAAAACAGGGCAAAAATAAGATATCGGCAGAGCTGCCGTGGCCTACAAACACTCGGTTGATGCCAAAATTGGCGATTATTGCTTGAATGACCAGTGGGTCATCATGTCCGAGAAGGACGTCGCCGAAGTTGTTGCAATCCCACACGATTTTGGGCTTGGCAGGGCTTGAATCCACTCGTACTTTGCTGATCACTTTTCCTACGACCGCCAAGCACTGTTTCAAGTGCCTTTTCTGGCGTTGACCGATTCTCCGCCTCCGCTCAGCCCTCCTGATATTATATTTATTACTCTGTGCCTGATGACTGCTGAATCTTTGTCATCTCCTTCCCTCCTCCCTCCATTGCTTTGGCTACCGGACATTCTGCGGTCTCGTGGGGAGCCTTCTTTATGACCTCGCTCGCGACGAGGTTGATAGCCAGGTTGGTTGTTTTTTCTTCGTTCTGGCGACCTGCTACGTTCGCGGTGTCGCCTTCCTGTACATGTTTGGTGTGCAGACTCAGGCCACGCCTTTGAGCATCACCCTTGATGAGCTCATCAATCTCATCTTTGAGGTGTCTACACTCCTCAGTACTGTGGTCGTTGCTACGGTGGAACTTGCAATACGCGGTGACTTCTCTGGTTGGCTGCTGGGTTCGTTGGTTGCTCTTGGGCTCTTCTTTGTACTCCGTTTGCAGGACACTGTGTGACTGGCGCCCTGATGAACCACGTTTTGAAGGGCGACTGGCATGCTTAAATGGTTTGTGACTCTTCTAAGTCGGTGATTTCATGTCGGGCGAGTTCGTAAGCGAAAGCTCCTTGTCGCAAGCCTGAAAGGAGTATGTGTACCTGCACCTTGGGGCTCTTCCTGCTTTCTTCGACTTGGTTCTTACAGGGTCTGTGTCGCCAATATTTGTGGAAATGTTGGATGGGCCTTTGAAACCAAGGGGTATGGGGGTTAACCGCAAGTTATCGTTCAGCGGTTTGTTGCGTCCTGACGTATGAGCGGTTGTTATCCTTACATCGGGGTTGCGAGCACGCTGGTCCGGTTGTGGGTGGGGCATACGTGGAGCCTCCACCGAATAAGAGAGAGTTGGGGCATGGTGCAAGGCCTGGTTGACGTCGTATGTTGGTTGACCTAGATTTTGATAAGACCCTTGGGGTTGCGGGATGGCCACGTTATGAGGCTGCATAGCGTAACCGTGGAAAGGAAAACCAGCAAGGTACGGCTGAGGGAAGGGAGCAGCAACATTGTGAGTATAAGGCCTAGGGGCCGGGGTACGGGGCGACCATAGGGATTCGATGGTCATTGTGCATGGCGACTGGCTGGCTTCGAACTGGTTGTGGACGATGGATGAGTGGGATGGCTAATGGAGCAGTGGTAGGGAATGGGATTCCGAAATGAACTCCCGGCGGTGGGGGTTGGTTTGGGATTTTTTCCCCTTGCATCTCACGCACAGGTGCGCGATGGTTAAACTGTGTTATTCTGTCGGCAGCTACTGGCAGCCGCGGACCAACGGATTGTAGTACCGGTGGGAGGGCCTCGCCAGCGGCTCGTTCAGCTGGGGCTGAGTGCATGGATGGCAGGGAGTTGGGATATACTGTTTGCACGTGACCGTCAAGGGTGACGGCTCTGGCTTGTTCCGCCCTTCTGGTCGTGACAACCATGTCTAATTATCAGGGTCTGAAATGTGTCTTCTAGATCTTTGGTAGGAGAGTGGGAATAGAAGTTTGTAGTTTCCCACAGACGGCGCAAATGTACCGTAAGGATCTATAAGCCCACTATGTTCCCTTCAGGGATGAGTCACTGTATGGATAATACTCTTAGCACAGGTACAGACCAAGCTAAGAGGTACTTTGCCCAGTATAACAAGCAATCAACAATGGATAAGTAAGCAATAGTATGACTCAAAGTAAATGAGCAGAATAACGATACATAATATATCCCTTGGTGTGCCCAAAGGGGCTATTTATAGGGAGGTTGTATGAGCCTCCAACGGGTTGGTGAGGAGGGGGTCAACCTTTCTTGGGATCTGCTCCTGATAGCAGATGTCGTGGGGCGTGACAAGCGCTGCTATGATAGCAGTGATGCGCCTGGTGGTGTCAGGTATGTCAAACGGGGGCAGTTCCCTTTAACGACATCTGGGGCGACTGCCTTTGGGGGTTGGGGTCCCGAAATGGGACATTTCAGTGCTTCCCCTAGGACGTGTCGCAGTGTTGGGGGATGGGAGGGTCCACGTCAGCCCTGGCCGGAGCCTTGGACTGGGCCTGAGCCACTGGGCTGCTTAAGGGTTGGGCCATCCGGAACAATATATATCTGGATCATGTGGTTCAATCAGAGTGACTCATTGGTTGAATTAGTGATCCAATACCCCAACCAAGTCGGTGATCGGTTCAGATTTAATGTAGGTTTCTTAAATGTGTAATAATAAACCAATATTAACTTGATAATGTAAGAATCACACATAAACAATCTATCTAGCGCTGATCGCAAAGTGCACCAACGTATAAGGCTGTGCTTCGAACTCGTACCATCTCAAATAAAAGATATAGATAACTTTGGCTCTCACAAAAAATGATATAATTAAAAATTGTATGATGTAATAATCTTATACACAATAAATAAGGCAATTAGATGTGTCTCCTTTGAATGGTGCTAACTATGTGACTTCTATGGGTGTTTGGGGTTGTGGGTCGGGTGATGAATGATACCTCTGTCCTAAATCTTCTTCTTTTTTTGTTTTTTATAGTGAAAAGTACGTGCTCTAAGAGCCCGTTTGGATGAGCTTTTTTTCTTCAAAAGCTACTTTTTTAAGAGAAAAAAAGCACTTCTCGACAAAAGTCTGTTTGGATGCCAGTTTTTTAAAAAAGCAGAAGTCATAAAAAAAATCAAAAACCTACTTTTTTTCAGAAGCTAAAAATTTTAACTTTTAAAAAAAGCAGAAGTCAAAAGCCAAATATTTTTTTCAAAAATCAAATATTTTTTTAAAAATCTAAATAGCTGTAACTTTTATAGAAAGTACTTTTAAAATAAGGAAGTGATAAAAAGAGCTTTATTAAAAAGCCAATACAAACGCAAAATCTTCTAAATGTGAGTGAGGGAGACATTGGCATTGTATAATATTAGGCAAACAGGCATAGCCACATTGCCCATCAAATTCAGGTATTCAACTACCTATGTAGTGTTCGTTTCGTTGCACCACCTAATTGAGTTGCCCCTAATTTGCCAATAAAACAGCACCAATAACAACTGCCATGACCTTCGCCGACCCACCTACTTGGACATGCCCTCTTGAGATGGCCCCTTCCATTGGGGAGTTGACCCCCTCCATTGGGGATTTCCTGTAGATTTGAAAAACAAATAACATTAATAAATTAAAAACAACTTTTTTTTATTATTATAATTAAACTTGTAGACTCGTAAATTACTTTTTGGAGTTTGCAGGACAAAAAGTAATAAGGTAATCAGCAGAGGCACAAGTGAAGGTGCTAGTGCCATCGTCGTAGGCATAGCTATAAGCGCGTGGACAAGCGCTCTTGAAGAACTGCGAGTAGGAACTTGGTTTGCATGTCTGAGGAGTCCCGTAAGCGCCGCTGCAACAATACTGTGGATCCCCGAAAGCTTCACATGCGCTCTTACACGCCACGCTCTCATTACTCGCCGTCATCACTTTTAGCTCCGTGGGACACCCTTTGTTCAAGTCCACCGCGCAACCCGTGGCTGTGCAGTTCCCGCCGAGGCCATGCGGCTCCACCGTCATTGGGAGGTTGTAGCCGTCGACCAGGCTGACGTCATAGAAATCCATTCCCCCTGCACCATTCAAGGTGAACTCCGCTAGTGTTGCGGGCAGGGCACCGCCAGCTCCGTTGCATTCCACGACGGAGGCCGCAGTCTCCCGTGACGCATGAAAATTTTCCGGTGGAGTCCGTGGAGCATAGGGTTCGACCCCATAGGCGGCCTGACCAGGCGGTGGGCGCTGCGACAGCATTGGACCCGCCAGGTTGCAGGGCGAAACCCGTGGTGGCGAGTTGTGTCGTTCCGGCACCGGTCAAAATGCCAGGCCAAACGGGGTAGCTGCACTTGTTTACGATTGTGAATGTGGCTGAATTCGAACCTGTACAAAACAAAACACAATGAAAAATTGAACATTATCTGCATCGTTATTCTTAAACGAAAACAAAGAGTTACTCGTTAACATGAAGTTATGTTGCTATATGCAAGGGTTCACAACGAACATCAGACAAAGTTATATTTACAACTTTTTTTTTTACAATTTTCTACAACCATATCTTAACACGGTTGATTTCCGTCAATTAATGGGTATAATTTTCACAAATTAAATTCATTAATTAATTATTAATTCACAATAAAAGATAACCGTTGATTGATTGCCGAAAATCAACGGTGTTAAAATATATGGTTGTAAAAAGTTGTAAAAAAAAATAGTAAGTATAACACTCCTCTTATATATATATATATATATATATAGGGATATGATCCGTCAAATTTTGAAATTTGACACCAAATCCTAACCGTTGATTTCTGCCAATCATCGATTATCATTTATTGGCAATTAATGATTAATTAAATGATTAATTAATAAGTGTAATTCCCAATAAATGATAACCGTTGATTTTTTAGTATATATATAATATATATATATTAGGATCATGCCCCATATATATATATATATATATATATATATATATATATATATATATATATGGTGTCAAATTTAAAAATTTCTAAAGTTTTATATATATATATATATATATATATATATATATATATATATAATTTTAAATTACATGTTGCTACATGTATATAGTGCACCCCCCTCATGATAACAGTTAACATTATTCTTAAACGAAAACAAAGAGTTACATGTTGCTATATGCTTCGGTTTACCGTGAACATTATATATCTATAATATTAAATTATATGTTGCTACGTGTATATATAATTTTGTCCCCTTACATGAAAATTGATTTTCTTTTCATTTTAAATTTTAAAATATGTATAATTTCTCCTCCCTTAACCAAAATTCTTGGATCGCTATAGTAGTTTTTGTAATTAACATACATATGATATTTATGTGAGAATGGAAAAATCACCTGTTAGGAACTGAAAGAGAAACAGAAAGAGCAAAGTGAGAGCAAATTGAGTTGAAGCAGCCATTGCTGAAAAACGGCACATTAATGCACGATGAAACTTAAATTATGGATGGAGCAATTTGGCTTCTCGAGTTGGATGCTATATGAAACAAGGTTTTGCGGAGTGAGAAAGAGAGAGGGGATGAAAGATGAGATATATATAGGGGTTAAAGTGGGTTGGGCCGAGTTTTGTCCCGAAAAGTCCAAGCCTACGTTAAAAAATTTCAATTTGGCCCGACCCAAGCCTAGTATGAGTCTAACTGTTAGCCTGGTTTGGCCCGTTTATGAAAAAAAAACAAATGGCCTGGCTTGGCCCGTTAGCCTGTTAATTTTTAACTTCCAAGCAGAACCATGAATCAACTTTACAAAGTACTCAAATTATGTTGCTACACCAAAAATCATAATTTCAACGTCCAAACAGAATCATGAATCATAACAAAACTAATACAATATGCATTTAAGTCATTTTCAAAAGCAAAATGCTCAAATTAAATAACATATATTTCATCAGATCCAACAAACAAATCCATACTATGTAAATTAAAATAACTACATGAATCCAACAAACACATCATGATGCTTGTAGTAAGTATAACCTCGGCCAAAAATCTTTTAATATATTCATATACACAATCTAACATGTTGAGATGTTGGTTCCTCCTATATAAGAAATAAAGTAAGATTTCTATTAAAATATAATTGAATATGATTAAGTTATAAATAATTGCAATTGATTAAATTTATATCTTTTTTTTTCTTCAAGGCATACTTACTCTATTTTATTTTATTTTATTTAAAATAAATAGTACAATATAGGCCGGCCTGTAGGCTTATAGGCCCGGCCTTTTGAAAATGGGCCTATAGCCTTTTTATTAAACAGGCTTTTTTAAGGCCCGAGTCCGGCCTATTATATAAAATATACTAAGTCAGGTCTAACCTGATGTAGGTCGAGCTGTAGGCTCCTGTAGGCCGGGCCGGCCAGTTTCACCCCTAGATATACAGATACATGCGTGCATAAATCCTTGTGTGAACATGAGATATATATAGATCACTGTGGAGGTCGAAAAAGTGTCAGAATTTTAGTGAATATTTGAGTTATTTTGCGTAAGATCCAGATCCAATTAATGAATCTACCTATAAAAACATCGATTGAGGA